TTGATGAAATGCTGCTCAGCACCGATTATAGGGCGCTTTCCTGCCCCCTTTTCGCGTGCTCAAGCACCATTGGCCATTGCAATGCAATGGCGTTAACCGAATAAGGACTTCAAAAGCTACAATTCTTGAGGTTGTTGAAGAAAACACGTCTCCCACAACAATATGAGTGTGCAGATTTGTACATGGTACATCACTAATTTGTATGTATCAAGAAGGCATCTGGAGGTTGCTCCACCAGAGTTTCATTGTACATGTACAGTGACAATAATGTTCTTAAGGCCCCGGATATACTGCAAGCTAAATCGAAGAACAAACTGATGTGACGTAATTTCGAACAAAATCCGGCCAAAACGAAGTTGGTTTTTGTTCATTTTGGGAGTTCGAAACGGCTTGCCAAAGTGAACTTTCCAGAAAAGTTTGTTCGGCTGCAAAACATCTTCGTACTACCATTGGTCCGTGACGATTATGTCATGGTGGGTGTGCGCTGAGGCTCCGCCTTCTTTCATGCGGAACTCTTCTCTGGGTTCATTTTGTCTGTCGAGTCCTTGGAGGTGAGATGTCCGCGGGTAAAAACTGAACACAGTGGAGAGCTGCTTTATAGTAGCAAATTAAGTTTTGCTTCTGATGAAATGAGACACTGACAGTTTTTCATGTTTAATACTGCTGCTTGCTTTTAAGCAATATATTGAATAAAGTGCCATGTAAATATACGTGACGTGACTTCATGGGAGTGCTAATTTGCAGAGCTCGTGCAAGCATACCCATGTTGCTATGATCAGATGCTTTTTTTATAATAAAATGCTTGCCATTATCTCCATTTTTGTTGTGTTTATTTTGTTACTAAGAGGAAAGCGCGTAGCACATATTTACATATTCATATAAACGTCACTTTCATCAGAGTGGGCGGCGTCGGGATGTTCGATAGCAGCATACCGCTGCTCACGTATATCGAACTTCGTTTTACACCTAAACGAAGAACGAAAAAGAACTTTGTTTTGAGTATATTGGGGCCTTTACTTACTTACTTAAGGCTTCAGTATTTGAGCAAAAAAAGGGTTTCCCCAAAGCATCAGCTTACACTGTACACAAGGTCGAGAGACCCTCTCGAAATGGAACCCAGAATTACATTGACACGTGAGAAAAGAGTGCAACCATGTCTGAGATTTGAATAAAACTCTATGATTAATATAGAACTAGTTGTTCTTTATATGTACATGCAGATGATTTGTTTGCTTACCATATCCTTTTTCTCCAAATGCCAGAAATGGGGGGATGATGAAGTGTCGTATTTCTCCTACACACATGCCCAGCAACCCTTCATCCAAGCCTTTTATGAGCCAACCTTCCCCAACCACTGAATCCTGCGTCTGGGAACGCTTGTAGCTGCATTATGTTCATACAAGATTAATCAACACACTTCTGGATACATCTGATATATGACATGTGTCCACTCAGATACTGGATTAGATTTAGATGTTAAAATACTTTCTCTTATGCCTTTTTAATGTACAAAGAAAATTATTACGAAGCCATATATAAGACAGTTTGCATGAACAGTGTCAACACTGTGGATCCATGGCAATATCAACATTGCTCAAACAAGAGCATGAGTTTGGTGGCAGGAGTGTTCGGGAAACTTGTTTGTAAATTGTTATTATTTTTTGCAGTTCCTTCGAGGTGGCTACTAGGACAGAAAGTAGCACTAACCTGGAGTCAAACGCAGAGCCATCCAGCAATGTCCCATTAAAGTGAAAACGGACAAAGTCAGTCCTCATGACTGAGCGCTTGCATTCTTTAGGTGTACTGATGACTTTGGTCTGAACCTGGTCTGCTCTGTTAAAGACGTCCAGTAGAACCAGATCAAACACTAATGTTGTGTCTGGCGGCACTTTATCACCTGAAACGGCACAGAAGGAAGACACTTTCTATGATATCTAATACAATGACACCCAGACATTTTTAGGCATGACCTGTGTGTCCAAATGGTTTTTGGGCCACTGTCCAAGTCTGAGAAATAAACTAGTATGCACATTTAGTTTGATGAATGTAAAAGGTGTGTTTGGGTATATTACCTGCTCCTTGGCTACCGTAAGCCAAGTGGGGGGGTACAGTGATCTTCCTATGCTCATTCACACACATACCCAGAATGCCTTTGTCCACACCAGCAATCTGCCACTTTTGGCCCACTTGTCCAAAGAATGCAGCCCCCCTATCATAGCTGCATTTAAAACAAACAAATCACAAAAAGATTTCCAACACACAGCAAACATGCACACACACATAGCTTTGCAAGTCATAAAAGTAATTTTAATAAAAGTAATAAAAGCATTTTACACAATCAAGTCCATTTTATTTCTATAGCTCTTTTGACAATGCAGCTTGTCTATCATTTGAACTCCTCAGAATAGTTGTATTCAAGCTGCACTGGAAAAAAATTTGCACAAGGCTCAGAAACCAAGAGAGCTCCCTATCAAGACAGCATTTGGCCACGTATGATACATTATACGATGTTCAAAAATGCTTTCCATGTAGGTAGCTCACCAGTGTCTGAGACACGGCCATAGATTAATATGCAATATAATAAAAAATCTTTTTTAAGTAAAAAATCTTGAACAAACCTATTTGCATGTAACTGCAAAAGATACTTCAAATTATATCATAGAAGTACCCTGATTTTACCATAACACAAAAAAAGTATCCCAATGTAATATTCCAATGGTGCACGTCCAGAAAATCACGGCCCTACATTGGACGTCTCCAAAACGCAATGGTATCGCTTAATGCGAAGAATTTTGCAAGATGCAAAGAATGAACATCACTCAATGAAAACTTGGCTGAATTATCTCACCTAGAGTCAAACTGTTTTCCGTCAGTAAAAGTGCCGTTATAGTGATACCGCACGAAATCTCCTGATTTCACTTCTCTGATGCAGCTTTTAGGAATGAAGTATCGATCAACTGCAATATCATCGATAGGCCCGGGGTTACAGTCCACGGAGAACCACGTCGCCAGCAATAAACTCAAAATAATCCTCCGTACCATTGTAAGGACAATGTAGCCTGTGAATGAGGCTCGCAGACTCGCAGTCAATTGTGGGCTCCTGTAGGAGGAGTTCGGATGTGTAAACGTGGAAGATCTTCGGCTGGGATGTTGCTTCGGGCACTTCTTCCGTTTTCGGAACAAATAAAACTACAGGTTCTGAATTATTTTATAGGAGTGATCAATTGTAAAACCGTTGTTTACTGTTATTATTTCTGATGTTATTGGTTAAAATGTTGAGAAAAATGACGCACAAGAGAAAAATATTTAATGAGATCATATTTCACGGAAGCGGATGGAAAGCCGTTCAATAAGAGGCTGTGACCGTTGGATGTGGATGACACACTTTAGCAGCAGCGCGGTTTTAGTCAGGAACATGAGCCACTATGTATTATTTTGTATCGTAGCCTATGCAATGTATTACTTAATTGCTTGATGTTTGGTTCATTGAATAAATATTCTAATTCTGTCAAATAATGTCTTTTTTTGTTGTTGTTGTTTGGTTTATTATAACCCTTTAGCATTCCTGCAAAATTTGCCTAAAACGCCTAAAAAAGGCATAGCCTACCCCAATTCAATTGCATGCTATTCTTGAACCATTTGGAGTATTTGCATGGTTTGGTCTCTTTTGAAAGACACAGAGGTTTATTCAGTTTAGAAACAAAACTCAGAGTGCCACCTTAGAGTAAGTCTTACTGGCATTGAGTGATAGAACTTTGAACACACCGAAAAAGGGGAAAAAAAAATTTGTTTTTTTTTGTAAACAGATACCTGCAGTCAGATGACTATAGCTGGGAGCTATTAGCTGGAAAACACAATGGGATCACAGCATGACGCCTTGTTGGCAGTCTGACAAAGACACCGATTGTGCTAGCTGTGCTGATTGTGTCTTAAAAAGGTTTGCATCATTCGAATAACGACAATCTCAACTTTCCAAAGATATATGACGATTAGCTTTTTTTTTTGCCACGATGTGACCCTTAAAAAATACGCAGTGTACCACGGGTGGTAAAAACATTTCGATGATTAGCCTATATCTGGATAGGCCTAATTGACCCAAAAAGCTATGTCTGATTCAGAGAGAGTGGATTCAGATCTGTTGCAGAGGGGGAGATTCCAAGGCTGAGATTAGGGGCATTTAGTGTTTTATCTGTACTGTGGCACAGGCCCCCCACCAAAAAGCGTCCTCATAGTTTTATACTAGTATGGATATGGGTTAAAAATGTATTTTTCCTGCAGTAGAGAGTAGCTGTTTTATATAAAGGTCTTGATCTCAATCAGGGGCATTGCTTGGACTCTCAGACACGTTACGGTTTGGAACAAAAGCAGACAATATTTCAAAGTATTGTGTTAAAGTTCACTCAGAATTAACCTTTTCAATTCAGTTCAATTAAAATGTATTTGTATAGCACTTTTCACAATACACATTGTTTCAAAGCAGCTTTACAGAAAATGCGTGTGTCTACATTACAATTTAGAGTGATCTGTTACCTTTTGTTTATTGGACTGTTGTATAAAAATCAATATCATGTTTACGGTCGTGCTATTAGGACAGAACACTATTTTTGCTCGTGTGACATTTCTTAACTCATTATAGGCTACACAGGGTTAATTCCGAATAGTTGGGACATTTTCCCAGTCATCTCAATGGCAAAAAGTGTCCCAATTTACCTGAATCAAAAAGAAAAAGAAAAAAAATCATTAATTATGGTGGTATCTATTTCCTCAACCACAGTTTAACAAAATGTGATCATTCATACTGTACATGAAAGAAAAGACTACAGTTAACAATAACTGCTACAGAAAAACAATGCATGACAAAATATACAGACCATTTACAATTACGAGCAATATTACAATAAAAAAACATAACTGTGACTGGCATAATTTTTTAGAGCCACTACAGCCTATATATAGGACATATACGCCTGTGGGTGGCGGTAATGTGTAACATTGTGCGCTACAGCAGACAACATGCAAGAGAAGAAGAAATTCAGGAGGGCCGTTTGAAAAGATTCACAGAAAGAAACTGCGCGTAATATTTATATCGCTTGAAAACTATACATTTGATGATGTTTTAACGTATCAAGACGCACGATATTTTTAATCCTTATGAGCAGAGAACCTCAAGGTAAGATAAACATTTTCACAAGTACTCTGATGATACAGGTTTTTGTGGCTTCTGTTGATGTGATCAGTTGATTCGACCCCCTTCTTTTATAGTTTTATTTACCATGGTATTACGATATACGATAATATGATATACGTGTCCCAAAACACGGTATATGTCAAACAAAACTTTCAAATAAAAAAAGTACTGCTATGATAAATATCAAACAACATACTGTACCATTAATACCATGCCATATATGAATTATTTGTCTAGCATTTCCAGCACGTCTGTTTAAAGGTTTAGTGCTTATTTAACAATTTTGTTTAAACAAAACTTTTTTTTCCTGCTCATGTCAGATTTATTTGTTTAAATATGTTTAACAGTGCTAATAATATATTGAGGGATTAGGGTCCAACTGTGTCAGCCCATAAAAATGTGAGAAATCAATAGTATTAATAAATAAGATGTTTACAATTACTTATTAGATCAGGGATGGGCAACGGGCGGCCCGCAATGTCTTTTAGTACGTCCCGCTGGATCATATTAGACTTGGATGATCATTTTTTAAATATTTGAAAAGTAAGTCACGTAAAGATTGCTTTCAGTTTATGGTGTTATACTATTTCCAACCAGGTTGGTTGCTAGTTTCCGGCCGGTTGCAGCAGATGTACGTAAATTACAATTTAAACCCTATTCGCACGGGATTAGTATTATCTGGGGACCTTGTGTGATTTTGAAATTACCCCCCACCTCTGAATTTCGTGTGGTGCATTCGCACGGGATTAAGATCACAAGACAACCTCCGCAATAATTACAAATGACTGGTCACCAGGTAATACTAATCCCGTGCGAATAGGGCTTTAGCCTAGTTTTGACGTAAATGGGCACTAAGTTACAATTTACGCACTACTAAATATTTTTTCTTTGCACAATTACACGTAGTTGAAGTGTAACTATGTATAAGGATCAAAGACGAGACGTCACCATTTTGGTGTCCGCATCAAATTACATTTACAAATGTCATTTTAAATGCATAAAAAACATCTTAAATGCAAGTAAATTGTCTACTTTCATATTTCAAATAACTTTTGAGACAATAAAATGTAAAAATATGGGGGAAATATTGTTCCAAAGTGTAAAATTGGCATTCAGTGTAATGTCCGGACTTTGATTTTACCATTACATCTTTAAATAACCATATAAAATGCCAAGTTAAAAAATATATTTGTTGTCTTGGCATTTTCAAGTAAGTGTTGGCTGTGTTATATTAAAGGGATAGTTCAATAAGAACTATCCAAAAATGAAAATTCTGCCATTAATTACTCACCCTCATGTCGTTCTAAACCCGTAAGACCTCAGTTCATCTTCGGAACAAAAATTAAGATATTTTCAAAGACCGAAAGTGTAGGAGTCCCTCAGGTTGAGTGCAGTGTAGAGAGTAACACGACCCTCCTCCTCCTGTTGGTGCAAGCGAGCAGTCAGTCACGTATGTGTAGGATGGCTGAACTTAAGGAGCTTTCCCTGGAACTTACGCAATCAGCAACCGGCCGTTTTTTGTCTTATTGCAACTTGCAAGCAACTCGTCTCTGTTCTGGACTTGCACAAACTGCGTTGCAATGCAATAGTTTTCCAAAATGTCATTTATGTGAAAATATGAAGTCTGTAAACGCCCGTTAACACAGGCCAGAGACGTTGAAGACGGACGCACGGAGAAAAATAAAAAAAAATGTAGCAGGGAGTAAACAAATTCTACTGTTCCTAATACTATGTATGTTGCTCAAAAACAAAATATATTGTGTTCAGCGGAAAAAAGTTTTTTTTTTTTTTACCCAGTCATTTAAAAAGAACAAATTTTAGAGCTGTAACGACAATACCGTGATATTTTTGCTTAAGGTTATCATACCGTCAAAATCTCATACCGGCCCATGCCTAGCCGCATCCAGTGTAGACCATAGATATGCATATATATATATGGTGTAGACAGCATCACTGATTATAATGAGTTCCATAGTATTTTGTCGCGCCGCGCCACTCGCGTCCGGTGTAGACACGGTGTAACATTGGTTTTGCTTTGTTTCACAGAACTAATCGTTGCCTGGCTGG